AAACGTCTGCCGCACTGACGGCTCAGTTGATCGTCGGCACAGCGCACGAGTCAAGATGCGGAACAGTCGACAAGGGACACCTTTGTCGACCGTTCCCTTATGCCTCATGAAACGAAGTTTACAGGAGCGGTCGACAAAGGCTTCCCTTGTCGACCAATCCACGACGATCAGCTGAGCCGGCACAGTGCGGTGGCCATTTTTATTTTAATGAAACCGGGGCTATTTAAATCCCCACTTCAGTGACTATGTCAGGTAGCCTATTTTACATGCCTCTGTCGGCAGAGGCATGTAATCTAGACATATCCTTTTTGAGTTTCAGATAACTGGAGCTATCCTGGTTAAGCCAAGGAGATCTCTTGTCAAATGTCCTATCTTTAGAGCCTGTGCAATACAGATTTATACCCATGGATATCAAGATATAAATTGGTATCCATTAAAATAATGAACTCTACCATTTAATGATTTCACCCAAGATCTCTTCCACTTTCAAATTCTCCACCAGTTCCTCCTGATTTGTCAAAATCAAATCTAGAACACCCTCTCCAGCTTCTACAGGTAAGGGCCAAATTATTTGCAAATGCTCAAGATACTGAGATGGTGGTGGAAAACGAGCCATTCATTTCTTTCCTTCGCTGTCCTGGAAATAGGGTTGCCAGATGGTTTAACCAAAAATACTAAACATCCTCCCTCCCCCCGCAAAAAAAAAAAAAACAGGAAAAAATTCTGTCAAGGAAAAAAAAAGGGGTGGGGTTTTAAGCACAGGGAAACCGGAACCAGTGGAGCCAGTGGCGGGTGGGGGCCATTGAGGAGGGCGCAGGAGTGACTTCGTGAGCTGCACTTTTGGGGGCCAACAGCCACGGGTTGGCCTCAGCTGGTGTTGAGGGAGGCATCACGTGGCCACCTCCCAGGTCTCTGCTGGTCATGTGGGCCAGAGCAGCATGCGCTCCGCTCCCACCCCAGCCCAGCACTCCCTTAGTGTGGCACCCTGCAAGTGCCCCCTTCTGCCTCCCTTCACTACAACTCTGCTGCACTCCTCACTTCCCCACCCCCACTCAGATGCAGCAGGGAAAAATTGTCCCCACCAGGCTTCTGTCCGAGGGAAACACAAAATACTGGATATTTCATATATCCAGTATTTCTTGGTTTTTTTACTGGACGGAGCCTGCAAATACCAGACTGTCCAAGGGAATACCAGACACCTGGCAACCCTGCCTGGAAGCCAGTATTCTCCATCTCTGGACCTGCCATCAGAGATAGTGTGGGAGCTGAACTAGTGCCATTTTATCCACTCCAATTTTGCTGCTAGAGAGGGAAAGCAAGACTTTTTGTATGTTACTGAGTCATCAGTGAAGGTCCTGAAGGTAAGTACAGTGCCCACCTCTGATGGCAGCAGTGAGAATCACCCAGACCTTAGGGGCTAGTGAAAAGCCCAGCAACACACAGACTTCTGAGTGAAACTCCCATGTGAAAACTGAGGTAACCCAACCTGGGAAAAGGAGGGGGGCTCTTTCAGTGATTGGTTACAAGAATCATAGAATACTAGAACTGGAAGGGATCATCAAGTCCAGTTCCATGCCCTCACAGCAGGACCAAGCACCATCTAGATCATCCCTGATAGATGTCTATCCAACCTGCTCTTAACACCTTTTTAGATTCTTGAAAATTACTATCATGTCCCCTCTCACTCTTTTATTTTCTAAACTAAATAAACTCAATTCTTCCAGTCTTCACTCATAGGTATGGTGACCATATTTTCTGAATCAAAATTGGGATGTTAGCCACACCCCCGGCCTCATCAGTCACACCCCCAATCCCTTAGGCCCTGCCAACCTGTCACATCAAGTATTACTTCTGGGGTCAAGATGGACACGTGACCAGAAGTAAAAGGTGTTGTGTGACCCCCCCCAAAAAAACTCCTTCCATTGTCCATTACTAATAGGGATGGGTTTGGGCCCCATAGGACTCCCCCGCCATGAAACTATTCTGCAATTGCATTAATCCAACTTGCATTGCATTAAGAGGAAGAGGTCCAGGGTGCCTCTGTTTCAGTAGTTCTCAAACTTTTTGGCCTGTGACCCACCTGGCTCAATGTAAACCTTTCCGCAGACCAACAGTTGCAAATGGAAACTCAGGGTTAATTACATAATTAAGCCCGAGCCTCTTTGCTAGTGTTGCAGCTAGGGAGAATGGTTTAATTTAAATTATTACATAGATTAAGTGTTGTAACTTTCTCGTGTTAGTTTATCAAACTTCATTTTAAATAAAGTAAAACATTAATTATGTCCAACTCAAAAGGTTAGCATGTTTTCTTTATTTATGGCATGGGTGGGGAACCTTTTTTGGGTTGGGGGCCACTGAACCACAGAAAAATCAGTTGGGGACTACACAAGTGAGAAGCAAAAAAACTCCTCCAAAAACCCCAACCCTCACTAACCTGGCTCCCAACTGAGACATCTCTCTCCTCTGGTGCTCCAGCCCCACAGGGCAAATGGAAGGGACAGAGAAGACTGCAGTTCAATGTAAGGATGTTAAACTGCAGTTATCAGGCTAATCACATAGCCAATATAATTTGTATCAATTACACGATTCGTTGATAAGTGCCGCTTTGCATAGCTGCAGTGGGGGTAGCTTCCAGGACTGGCCTTACCATGAGGTGAACTGAGGTGGCTGCCTCAGGTGCCAGACTGTGGGTGGGTGCTACTAGAACCCAGAGTGTAGAAAATTGTGTCTGCTGCTGGTGCATATTTATTCTTTCTGCTCTAGAGAAGAACAGGAAGAAAGCAGAATTGAGACCTTTCAAAGTTTTGGCCCAACCATGGGGAAATGGGGGCATCATTTGAGCTCCCTGCCTCAGGTGCCAAAATGTTGTGGGCTGGCCTGGTAGCTTCGGGAGCTGTCTGGAGCTGGGACTCAGCAGTCCTGGCTAATGCTGGCTCCAGAAGTCACCCGTGCTGCAGCTCTGCATTTTAAATGTAATAAGAGCCACTGGACTCTTGCTACATTTAAAATGCAGAGGCGCAGTGACCAGCAAAAGCTGGGATTGCTCAGTCCCAGCTCGTGCTGAGTCCAGCAGCCCCTGTTCACAGCAGACATCCCAGACCACTATGAATAGGAGCTGCTTGGCGGCGGCAGCCTGTCTGCGAGGGGCCAAGCTCCCTGTTAGGACACCCGCAGACAGGGACTGCTGCCTGAGCAGCCTCTGCCCACAGTGAGCCTTGACTCACCACGGGCAGAGGCTGCTTTGCAGCAGCTTCCCCTATCCTAGCCCACTGCCTCTGATGGTGTCTGGCCAGGAGGGGCTTGAGGCAGGGTGTCTGGCCAGGAGGAAGCATGGAGGATCAAGGGAGGGTACAGAATCTGACGGGCGTGGGTATGTATGTGTGCAGCAGGAACATGGGAGGATGTCAGAGCAAGCTGTGGGTGTGGGGTCTTGGCAGGGGGAGTGAGGGGGATTTGGTTGTAGGGTACGGGCATGAGGAGGGATGCTCATCTAGCTTCAGGGAAAGCCTCCAGGCAGCATGCTGTCATTCCCCCAAGAGTGGGAAGGGAGAGGGAGCTCAGTCCCTCCCCCCGCCCATGCGGTGGGGATCCCAGCACAGCTGCGGGGCTGCAGCACCAGGTCGGGCTTCCTGCAGGGAGGGCTTGGGATGTGTGTAGAGAAATCCGTGTGTGTGTGTGTGTGTGTAGAATTTTTAACCTTCCCCGCCAGACTCGGCTCGCTGATGGGTGAGGAAGGGCAGGGGGAGAGAGAGTGGCAATGCATGGGGGCACCAAGGCTGAACGTCCCCACCCGGGTTCCGTGCGGCCTCTGCTGGGGCTCAGGTGGCAATTCAAAAGTGCCAAGGTCCTGGAACAGCTGCTCAGTGGCTTTTGCCTTGGACCCAGCTACCTTACCCCTCTCTCGCCCCCCGGGTCAGCAGCGGCTGCTGTAACAAGAACTAGCTGCCACTTGCACACATGAAGGAGACTGCACGGGCAGCGCAGGGGCCCCATGTGACAGAGACAGTCCTGTGGGGGAGGTAGGGAGCTGTGCGGTGTGAGGTGGTGGGGTAGTGGGTGGGGGAGTGGCCAGAAACCACGTGCCCCCACCTGCAAAGTTCCAATGGCGCTGCCCATGTGCTCTGTGGGAGGAAAGGGAGGGAAGAAGGGAGGATACTTTTGCTGCTGTGCTGCGCCACACAAGACACAATGCAGTGTACGGACTTGGTCACTTCTTCCCACAAGCTGGCGGGGCTTTCCGGGACATTTCACTACGTGATGGAGATAGGGTTGCCAGATGGTTTCAACAGAAATACCGGACACAGTGGACATTCCATCACAATCTATATTACATCTTATTTAGAAAATACTGGAAATTTATATTTTCTCAATTTGTTTCCCAAACAGGCAGCTCAAATAATGGACTGTCTGGTTCAAAACCAGACACCTGGCAACCCTAGATGGAGACACTGGGACAGAGTATTTAAAATCGGACAGTCCCAAAAAATTCAGGACATATGGTCAGCGTGAACTCATATCATAGGTCATGTCTTCTAGACTTGTAATCATTTTTGTGGCTCTTCTTTGGACCTTCCGCAGTTTCTCCACATCTTTCTTGACATGTGGCGCCTAGCCTTCCGCAGTTTCTCCACATCTTTCTTAACATGTGGCGCCTAGACCTGGACACAATACTCCACCTGAGGCCTAATGGCTGACATAAAGCACAGCTTCGGCACAACCTCTCCCCTCCCCAAGTCACCACCCCGGCCACGTTCTGCGGGCGGCGCGGAGCCGGCCTTGGGAACTACAACTCCCGGCCGCCCACGCGCGCCGGCAGCGTCTCCTTTGGCGGTGCTCACGCTGGGACCTGCAGTCCGCCCGCGGCTCCCCCCGCACGCGGGGGCC